GCTTCTCAAATAGTGCTGAATATCAGTGCCAAAGACCAAGGCCTGCAGCCGAAAATCTCCTACACCAAATTGATAGTGAATATCACTGATGTTAACGACCAGGTCCCCACTTTCACTCAAAGCACGTATCACATTTCCTTAGTCGAGCATTCGCCGGCCGGCTCCGAGCTTGTGGTGCTCTCTGCGACAGATTCGGATCTCGGTGCCAATGGCACGGTCCGATTCTCATTTGACCCTGAAACCCCCGTGAGTGTCCAGAATAAGTTCAGGTTGGATGCAATATCGGGCCGGTTGAGGACAGCCACAGAGTTAGACAGAGAAGAAGAGGGCTTCTATCTGCTGCACATCAAAGCCACAGATGCAGGCACGCCCCCCCTTTACTCCATCTGCAAAGTCAATATCACACTGAAAGATGTTAATGATAACAGCCCAGTGTTTTACCCCGTGCAGTATTTTGCCAATATCAAAGAAAACGAGCCCTCGGGCTCATTTGTGACTAGTGTAACAGCTTCCGACCCTGACCTTAGCCGCAACGGCACTGTAAAATATGCCATCACTGCTGGTGACTCTTACAAGTTTCACATCAATAGCAACTCTGGTAAAATCACGACTTTAGTGCCACTCGACAGAGAGGAGAAAACCTCTTATCAGCTGCAGGTCACTGCGACAGACGGAGGCGGATTGCGCTCGCACACACAGGCTATAGTCACTGTCACTGTTGTAGACACGCAAGATAACCCGCCCGTGTTCAGTCAGAAAGACTACAGCTTTGTTATGTTTGAGAACGTGGCCGTTGACACCATTATTGGCACCGTGTTGGCCACCACAGTAGATCTAAACACAAATATTACTTATTTGATCACATCGGGGGACCAGCGTGGTCTGTTTGCTATCAAAGGCAGCACAGGGCAGATCACAGCTTCGGGGCTGATAGACAGAGAAGAGCAGGCGTTTTACCAGCTCAGGGTGATTGCTAGGGGTGGGGAAGTTACGGGGGAAGCTTTAGTTAATATCACAGTGAAGGATTTGAATGATAACGCACCTCATTTCATTCACAATGTCGAGCATGTCAGTGCTGTGGAAAACTGGGCCACCGGTCACCATATATTCCAGGCTAAAGCTTCGGATCCTGATGAGGGGACCAATGGCATGGTCGTGTACAACCTCAAACAGAACCCCAAAGGCTTGTTTCACATCCACGAAAGACACGGATTGATCACCCTCACTGGCCCCCTAGAAGTCACCACCAGCTCCTACCAGGTGGAGGTCATGGCCTCTGACCTAGGTGTCCCTCAGCGCACCTCCAGCCTCATTCTCACCATCAGCGTGTACGACGTCAACGACAACACGCCAGTTTTTGACCAGCTCTCCTATGAAGTCACCATTCTGGAATCCGAGCCAGTAAATAGTCGCTTTTTTAAGGTGGAGGCCAGCGATAAAGACTCAGGACTCAATGGGGAAATTGTGTATGACATCATTAGCGGTAACACAAATGACGCTTTTGGGATTTTCCCTGATGGGCAGTTGTATATTAAGGCAGAATTGGACAGAGAAGTACAAGATCGGTACAGTTTATTAGTGGTGGCCAAAGACAGAGCCGTCGAATCACTGAGCGCCAGCATTAATGTGACGATTCTTCTCGACGATGTCAATGACAACCGTCCACTTTTCAACAGCACAAATTATGTGTTCCACTTCGAGGAAGAGCAGGAGCGAGGCTCTTTTGTCGGGCTGGTTTTTGCTGAGGATAAAGACTTTGGGCCGAACAGCGAGGTACGTTACTCCTTTGAAACGCCACAGCCAAATTTCGAGCTGAACGCCATCACGGGTGTGTTGACCAGCACGCTACAGCTCGACCGTGAATCTCTCATGAGACAGAGAGGTGCCTCGGTGTTCAGTTTCACAGTCGTATCCTCTGATCAGGGCCTTCCCAAGCCTCTCAAAGACCTGGCCAAAGTTCAAGTGTACATACAGGACATCAACGACAACACACCGAAATTCACCAAAGACATTTACCAGGCCTCTATCTCAGAATCCGCCCAGAACATGACACAGCTGCTCCGAGTCTCTGCCTCAGACGTAGATGAAAATAAAAACGGCCTTATTCGCTACGACATCGTGGAGGGAAATGAGGATAAACAGTTCAGCATTGACAGCACTTCTGGTCAAGTTACTCTAGTGGGAAAACTAGACTACGAGACAACACCCTTTTACTCCCTCAAAATTATAACGGAGGACTCTGGGATTGTGCCTCTGTCATCCACATGTGTGTTGAGCATCAGTGTCCTAGATGATAACGATAACTCTCCGTCATTTCCCAAATCAACTCTCACAGTGGATGTGCTGGAGAACATGCGGATTGGAGAGCTGGTCGCCTCCGTAACCGCTACAGACTCTGACTCTGGTTCCAACGCTGACATCACGTACAGCATCTCCGCCACAAACAACCACGGCACTTTCAGCATCAGTCCCAACACTGGCAGCATTTTCCTGGTCAAAAAACTGGATTATGAAACGCAGTCCTTGTACAAACTCAACGTCACAGCCAAAGACAGCGGAAGGCCATCCAGGTCTTCCTCCATTCCGGTCATCATTCACGTGAGAGATTTTAATGACAACCCTCCTGTTTTTACACCAGGTGACATTTTTAAGTCCATCCCTGAAAACCTCCCACTCTCCACCTCCGTCATGACTATAACAGCTCACGACACGGATGCTGATATCAACGGCCAGCTGGTGTACTCCATCGTGATGCAGACTCCTAGAGGTGGTCATTTCCGTATCGACACCGCATATGGGGTGATATTCACGAACAAGGAGATCGACAGAGAGTTCTCCAATCTTTTTGAGCTGACCATCAAAGCAACCGACCAGGCCGTGCCGGTCGAGTTCCGCCGTTTTGCTCTGAAAAACGTTACCATATGGGTGACGGACCAAAATGACAACATGCCATTATTTATCTCCCAGAACGCCCTAGTGGCTGAATCTAACATAGTGATCGGTTCTATTCTGACTACAGTAGTGGCTTTTGACCCCGACGAGGGTGCCAACGGGGAGGTGGAGTATGAACTCGTGAGGGGAGATTCGAATACGTTTATCATGGATCGCTACAGTGGAGATATCAGACTCGCCTCTCAGCTCGTTCCCTCAAAACTCATCTACAGTCTGACCGTGTCCGCTACGGATCACGGCACGGACCGCAAGACCTCAAGGACGGAGTTGACCATCATCCTTCAGGGTTCGGATGGCCCGGTCTTCTCCCAACCCAAATACATCACCATTCTAAAGGAGGGCCAACCGCCTGGAACCAACGTCATCTCTCTGGATGCCTCCATTCCACGTGGCACCGGCACCAAGGTGGAGTTTTTTATTGTTTCAGTCCGGAGTGGTGGGAAGGCCGCAGGCCGGCTTTTCACCATTGGCCGCTACTCTGGGGTGATCCAGACAGCTGCAGAACTGGACAGGGAGCAAGGATCGGACCTCTACTTGATAGACGTGTACGCCACTGAAGCCGACTCCAGCCAGCCCAGAACGCAACATGCAGAGGTGAGTAATCGCTGTTTTTTTGGGGGGTGGGGGGTGGGGGGGTGTCAGTGATTTTGATGGCTCGTGCATATTGTGTGAAAGGAAATCTAAGGGAACATATTCTGAAACATGTGCTGAAGTCATTTGTGTGAATGTGGTGGAAAAACCTAAGCGAGAATATCCAAACTAAAGAGGGGGAAAAGAGTGTTGGATAACCGTACGTGCATTACCAAAGTTCCTGCTTCTCTCCCTGAGAATGTGGGCTTTGTTTTTTGGCAGGCTAGCTGTATTGTTTCAGCTCGGAGAGAGCGCAGGCCTTAATCTCAGAGTGGAGCGCTCGCTGTGCTCCGAGTTGCTCAGGCAGAGAGAGGGGAACCCTGGGTAAAATGTGCTGCTTTGTGTTCCTGCTGCGAGCAAACTAATCTCTCTTATCAGCAGTGACAAATTAAACAAATCAGACGCCCAGACAGCATGATTGCAGATATGAATAACACAAAACCACGGGATGGAATTGTTTGTTTCTTTCTTATTGTAATAGTTTTCTGGCCAAGGAAAGGCAGGCTAAAAGGGAAATGAGCGGTGGAGATCCGTGTGTGGGTCTCAGATACCTGTCCCCCGCCGAGTAAGCAGGGGAATTAACCGGGGTTTGAACACCTCAGGCGATGTCGGATCAGGGTGGTCCTTGAGACCCTGCTTTGTGCCACCAGCATTGCCTGAACAGGCAATAAGTGACCATTAAATTCAGCTGACCCTCTAAGTCTCAGTGAATAGAAATTTCCTTTCAGAGGGGGCTGAGCCGAGTAAGAGGAGGAATCTCTAAAAGTGAAACTTAATCCACACGTTCAGTTGGTACATTGCGACGCATCTGCGTTGCTCCCGCTAAACTCTCCCTCGAGGGATAGAGTTAAACTCTCGGCTGCAGGAACCAGATGAAATTCTACACTGGGCTTGTGGGTTTGTGTGCGCAGGCCTCTGCTCAAATGAAAAACAAATGTGATTCTATATATGTGTGCGTTTTGGAAATTTAAACTGGAACTGAAAATGTTACATTATTACAGGCTTGATGATTCGCGTTTATAATGTGGATTTTTTCCCCACATTCTTTGCTGCTGTGATGAAATGTGCTTTGTGTTAGAGTTTTGAAAATATCTTCCCAAGAGGCGTTGCTCTCCATTCCGAGAGAAAGAGAGTGAGCGTAATTAAAGCCAAAACGGTTAGCTTTGCCTTGTGAGGGGGTGTCATCGCTTGTGTCAGATAACGGTGTGCTGAAGTAACTCATCTGAGGTTGTATGAAAGTGTCCATGTGACGTGAAGATCATACCATACAGCAGTGGCAATGGAAGCAGATGTGTGTGACATTAGACCTGCTCAAACTCTGTGTGTGTGTGTGTGTGTGTGTGTGTGTGTGTATCTACTTAGCCATATTTGAGTTTTTTAGAAATGTAAAAATGCAGGAAGTTTTCTGTTAGGATTAT